CGTTTTCACTGTATAAATACTGGTTTTTGTTTGTGTTTTGGGTGACAAAAGTCTGAAAAGGCTTTGTCCCTTCTTTTTTTTTTTTCAATAAAATAGTTAAACTTTTAAAATTATAAATATAAAAAAAAATTATAATAATTATAATTGAATAAAATATATACAATATATATGTCGTTTTGTAGAGAATAAATTTTTTTATAATACAAATAAATAAAAATTTATAAATATATATGTTGGGTATAATATAAATTTATAATCAAATCATATTATATAAATTTTATTAATTAAATTTAATACACATTTATATTATTTTATTCATTATCCATCGAGTCAATACACATCAAAATTCCTAAATATAATGTGTGTTTCTTTTGGTTGAGTATCAGAAATTTTAGTTTGAGTTTGACATTAAAATAATGTTTGATGTGATGTTTTGTAAGAAGAAAAAATGTATTTTTTTTTTTCGAAAAATGCATAGTCCAAATAGTAAAATTTGGAAAAATTATGGTATAATTATAATTATAAGGGAAAAAAATATATACAATATATATGTCATTTTGTAAAGAATAAAATTTTCTATGATACAAATAAATAAAAATTTATATATATATATATGTTGAGTATAATATAAATTCATAATCAAATCATACAATATAAATTTTATCAATTAAATTTAATATACATTTATATTATTTTATTCATTATCCATCAAATCAATACACATCAAAATTCTCGAAACCTCAACCAAACCCAAATACAAAAAAAAAACAACAAAATTCAAACTCATCCCAAAATTCAAATAAAAACCAAACTCAAACCTAAATTTCCCCAGACCCCTGAAGAAACACACCCTTAGTCTTATTAGGGTGTGTTTGTTTGGGGGATTGGATTTAATTTCCACTATTCATCCAATTTTTTCCCCCAAAAAAATATCAAATCAAATATTTATTTTTCATTTTTTATATTATACTAAAAATCAATTTTACATTCAAAACATCATATCAACACCTATTTATATCACATTATACAACTATTCAAATTCAAAATTTTTACCATTCAAATCCCAATTCAAAATCCAAGCACGAAACAAACACACCCTAATCTACTTGGCCCACCGTAATAGCATAGCGCATTTCTTATTCTTTACAATTCTAGAATAGAAAACTAATCAGATGTCGTAGCAAAAATTATAAAGTACAAATACCGCAAGAATTGAGTACTGATATATTACTCCCTCCATCCCAGATACTATGTCCATGTTGCCGTTTTTGTCCGTCCCACATACCATGTCACTTTCCTTTTTTGAAAAATGATTACACACTTTAATCTCATTTTAAATTTTTAATTTTAATTAAACTAATTAGTTATCTTAATCTTAATTTATAATTATTTATATTATAGTATAATTATTTTCACTAATACATTCTTAATTATCTACTAATTACACATCTCCTAAAATACCGTGTCTACAGTATAGCAGACACGGTATTTGAGACGGAGGGAGTATAATTCAGCACTATGTTGAATAGACGAAACTTAACTACTTTTAAATCAGTACTTAGATAATATAATTAATATAAATGCATATATATATATATATATATAAAAGAAATTTAAGAACAAAAAAAATTGGACATATAAGTGATGTGTTCTTCTTTAATATGTCATCTAAAATACTTCCTCCGTCCCGTGGAATTAGTCCACTTTCTTTTGGATACACAGTTTAAGAAATATTGTATTATATAGTTAATTAGTTTGATTTGTTGATGTAATTAAGTTTATTTTAAATATATTTTTTTTTGGATAAAATATTAGATTAAAAGTTTAAATATTTTTTATTTTAATTTTTAAATATTGATTTTTTTTTATTTATTGAAATGATTGAAAATTAGTTATAATAATTGTATCTATTGTAAATCAATATATGTAATTAGATAAAAATAATAATAATAATTTTAATATACAACTAAAAATGTATGGTTTTGTTCTTTCTAAAAAATTTTCCAACATGTTTTTAAAAAAAAATTAATATATTACACATATTTATTATTTTTATATTCCGTACACAATTTCTTATACTTAACGTAAAAATTTTCTTTTCAACAATCTCACAAAACAAACACATGTTACATAATAACAATTTTACATATAAAATACATAAAAATTTTCGAATTTGATATTAGAAATAGTTCGTTATGATACATAAAATGTAATGCCACATTATATAAAGTATCAAAGTTTTTGATATGATATTTTACCGTACCAATGCCGTATAAATATTTTGGGATACCAAATTTACGAATAGAAATATTGAATTGCGTAAATAACATGTATACTCATACAAAAAAATATCAATTTTTTTTTTTTAAATTTTCGGTACGATATGCTTTTTTTTGTATAATAACGATATACATGATATTCTCAGTATATATAGATAATAAAAAAATCGATATTTTTGTATATACCGAATATTCGATATAATATCGATATTTTTTTTTAATAATCAAAAAAATTTGGTACGGTGTACAATATAGTTCGATATACTTTCCAAAACTATCTCTAATTGAATTGTATACATGGTATTAAAATATAATATTTTACGCTAAAATACCAAAATTAAAAATAATTTTATAATTTTGCATGATAAATAATTTTTTTGTTTTTAATTTTTTTGAATAAAGAAAAAAAAAATTCAAAATCATATCTCTTTTTTAATTAATTTTTCGGCCATAATTTTTCAAATCAAACATCAATTTTTTGTATTACATTATAAATTAATTTAAAATATTTAAAATTAGATTAATACTCATTTATATCATATCAAATATTTATTTTATTTTTATCATTCAAAATTTTAGTCAAACTTCTAAATTTACAACTAAACAAAAAATAAAACTAAATATATTTGTAAGTTAATAGAATATGGTTAAGTTTGTTAATTATAAGTATTAATTATTAATTATTACTCCCTCCGTCCCAGATACCGTGTCTGCTACACTCTAGACACGATATTTTAGGAGGGGTGTAATTAGTAGATAATTAAGAATGTATTAGCGAAAATAATTATCCTATAATATAAATAATTATAAATTAAGATTAAGATAACTAATTAGTTTAATTAAAATTAAAAAAAATAAAATTTAAAAATTTAAAATGAAATTAAAGTGGATAATCATTTTCCAGAAAAGGAAAGTGACATGGTACGTGAGACGAATAGAAACGACAACGTGAATATGGTATCTAGGACAGAGAAAGTACTATAATAGGAAAGTTAACTAATTTGGTGGAACGGTTTAAAAAAATAAAATATTAGACTAATTTGGCGGGACGGAGGGAGTACGAGGCTTAAACCAATCTAAATAAGGGCGCACACAATTAAAAGATGATGTATGTAGATTTGAAATGTAATTAATTGGATATTCTGTTTTTAATATTTATCAATAATAATCTTTACAAATTTAGTACGTTAGATAATTGTTTTATATTTAAAATATTACTCCCTCCGTTCCAGAAAATATGAGATTATTACTGGAGATACGAAAATTTAGGTAAAGTATAATTAGTAAGTAATTAAGAAATATATTAGTAAAAATAATTATTATTTAGTAAAAATAATTATAGATTAAGATTAAGATAAGTAAATAGTTTAATTAAAATTACGAAAATTATAAAATTTAAAATTTAAAATATGATTAAAGTGCATAATTATATTTCCAAAAATAGAAAGGACAAGTTATGTGGGATGGACGAAAATAGAAAATAGGGACAAATTATGTGGGATGGAGGGAGTATATTTTTTCCATTCAATTTTTATCTCTGTTTATTTTTTACAACATATCTTAAATATTTTATAATTTTGTTGTGATAATTTTATTGTATTTTGCTAATTCTATATAATGTTGAAAAATTTTCATGTAAAGAAATTTCATGTACATCCATAACAAATGAAAACAAATTTCAGCTTCCACAACATTCGACATGGTATTGAATTTTAAGTATAAATGTTTAGTAAAAATATAGTTTGAACATTTTATAAAATTTTATTTGATATTTTTATTTCTAGTTATTTTTATTTATATGTAATACATATGATAAAGATGAAATCTTGATATTGACGAACACAAAGTACATCATTTTATTATTAAAATAAATTTGTAGTATAATGACAATATACAAATCATAAAATTTAGCATTTACATTCATGTATGGATATATACTAATTGAGTTGAAATATTATTTATTTTAAATTTTAATTTTACCATAAATTATAATATTCACTCCGTCCCGCAAGAAGGTTATCATTTGGTTTGAATAATTTACTCTGACAAATACCATTGTATTTGTATTATAAGAGACAAATAGAAGTATTTTTGTCATTTTCTCTTTATTTCTATTACATATTGATATAATAATTAACATTTAAAGATCAACACGTAAAAAGTCAATGACAACTTTCTTGCGGGATATTTTTTTCAATAATATATATTTTTAAAGTTAATTATATTTTTAATTTACCAAGGCGTCACCCAAATCCAAGAGAAATTCAAAATTCACTCTATACATGTTTAGGAGTTTGAATTTTGAATTGACATCTGAATAGTAAAAAATTTGAATTAAAAAAATTATATGATGCGATATAAATAAATATTGATGTAATATTTTGAATGTAAAATATCTTGAAGAAATCGAAAGGGTAATAAGGTGTAGAAAATATGATTCCTCTCAATAAATATACAACATCGATACACCAATTAAGAGTGTGATACACACCAATCAATAGTGACTTTTTATTTTATTTTTTATTTTATTTTTATCTTAATAGTCTAATTATTTTTTTTTAAGAATTTGGACCATTATATGTATATGATTCAAAGCATGCATTGAGATTTGAGAATATTCAAAAGGTTACTAAAAAGTGTCAAAAGCCAACATGTAAGTATGCATATATACATGAATAAATGCGATCTTTGGTATTCTCTGTCCTTATTCAAATAAATACATTTCAAAGAACTTTCTACCCATTTCACCCTAGTGCATAAAACAAGAGAGAAACATAGTAAAACATTAGTCGATTTTGATCTAAAGACAAAATATAAGTAAAATTGTTCCAAAGACTGCAAGATAAATAAATAAGAAAGGCTGGGCAATAACAATTTGAAAGAACTTTCTATCCATATCAGCTCCAATCCTACCAGACTCCCTACAACATATACATATATATATATATATATCTATATGTATGTAGAGAGAGAGAGAGAGTGAGAGAAAGAGAGAGAGTACTTACTGCCTCTTTAGTTGATATGGCAACCGGCGCTCGGGCACCCCATCTTCAGCTCGTCTATCTTCAAACCACTTCACAACCCTTTTCCGCGGCAGATTTGTCAACTGCACGATGCTGCTAACCATTGCATTCTGCAATCATATATGTTCAAGCCACAAATAGGATGAAATTGGTACAACGTTCAAGGCTTCAACTTTCAAATCGAAAATGACATTTCATAATGCATCAGGATAGGGAGGCAATCAAAATGGCTGCATTCTCATTCTATTTGTCGTAGTATGACAAAAAGAATTTGAAACTCCTAATAAGGGGAAAAAACTATTGCCTTACGGCTTTGCCATGGCCCGCCTCCATTGCTAATAGATACACCAAGAAAGAAAAGCATTTGTATTGGTTCTTAGTCATATCCTCTTTAAACCCTTTCATGTACATAAATTGAATATATACGGAATTTGATCATTCTCTAGAGTCTACGACTATATGCAAATGTTAAGAACAAATGTCGGGTCAGCCCCAGACCCGATAACCATAGCATCTAAAATATGGAAGGCTCTTAAGATTACTTGCTGCAGCATAAATGAACAAACATATTAAAAAGTCATTTTAACTCACAGTTGGGCGCTTCGATCGTTCATAGACTTGCTCCAGAGTCTGAAGTTGCATTTTCTTCAGCCTCTTTTTAGCGGACCAATTGTGTTGCTTGACATGAACAGGAACTTCTGCCTTAACTTCAGGCTTTGTTGTCGATGTCTCTGTCTCTAAAGAAACAGCTTCCACTTCCTTCATAGTACCAGAGATTGTTGAATCAGGCTTATCGGGTAAAGTAGCACTCAGCATAACAAGATTAGGAGGAGGGTCACGAAGTAATCTAAGAACAACAGCTCTGTCTAGACATAGGTCGGCAGCAAGATTTTTCACCTGTGGCAAAAGAAGGGTATTATAAACAAAACGACAAATCATACAAGATGTGTGAAAATAGTAGCTTGGAAAATAAACTTAAAGACCTTGAATAGACACCGTAAATACTAAATTTATTTCACATGACACCTTTCCATTTTAAAGCCAGCACTTAGGACTATTCAAGTAATATTAGACAATAAATAAATTACATCTTGTTATTTTATAGGGATCAGATTGGATAAGTTATTTGATCCAAGTAATCTCATGCTCATTTTCATAGTATAAACCCTTGACCAGATAAAAATACATGACTATATATCTCAGAAATAGTTTATATATTCTATGATAAAAATCAATAAATATATTCCTGTGAAATTTTTATTCAATCCATTTATGTGAACAAAGCTTTATAATGAAGACCCTCATTCCACGATGCTCTTAACCATTAGAGAGAGGCTCACCCTAGTCTTACGGCGACCGTCTTTCAGAGCATAGGCTAGTCTCCTAAGTTGCCAATTTTTGAGGTTTACAGATCTTTCCTCTTCTTCATTGTCATCACCAACTTCATATCCACCCTCATCATCATTATCATCATCTTCCTCTTCACTGACATCTTCAATTGTAGCAGAATTCAAAGCCCCAAATATTTTATCATCCTTCACAGCCTCAGCTAGCTCCTGTTCAAGTTTAGCAAGCTCTTCATCACTTATATCGTCATCTTCACCCGCCAGAGCCTCAGCTAGCTCCTGTTCAAGTTTAGCAAGCTCTTCATCACTTATAACATCATCTTCATCACTTATATCATCATCATCATCACTTATACCATCATCGTCATCACTTATATCATCATCTTCATCCACCAGAGCCTCAGCTAGATTTTGTGCAAGTTTAGTAAGCTCTTCATCGCTTATATCGTCATCATCGTCATCATCCTCAGTACCATATAATTCATCATTTTTCAGATCTTCTCCAAGCTGACTAAAAAGAGCCTCAAGGGCATCTTCATCTTCATCTTCATCTTCTTCGACTCTTTTCTTTGTGGTTTTGCGCTGCATCTTATGAAATTTAATTTTGTCATTAACAGTAAAATTATTGAATGCATACTTAATTTTGTACATAGATATACATATAGCTTAATAAAGTGATTCACCTATGTAAAATTGGAAAAATGCATATCTAGCATAAACATAATATAAAGCAATAAATATGTTAGTATAATACGAGGAATTTCGAGAAGCAATCCAAATTCATCATATCTTCACTTTTTGTCACTATGATTTGTAATAAAATACAAAAAGGAAAGGTAGTTTGCCTCAAGGGAAAACCACAGGCGGGATTAGCATCTGTTTCTCAATTCCACTTCCCTCAAACAACAGAATTTGAAAATTTAGACACCTGGATACCTTTTTCGGCTGTTTGGAAGAAACAGAAGGGTTTGAATTGCGTCTGCTACGGTGGCTAGACAAACATAGGCAGAGGGAGCGCAAAGGTTGCGGACTTGGCCTGAAGAAATTTTTTAAAGGACTTTTATGATTGCACAAGGGGAAGACATCTGAGTTGGAACTAGCACATTGGAGTGTATGGAATGTCTGGAGAGCTGTTAATGATGCCATTTGATCAATTTCTTATTTCTGCCTCAAAATACCTGCGATATTCATCATATGTCAAATAAACGTTTGAAAATTAACTTGATTCAGATTCCCTCACAGTTTCAATGCTAATTATTAGAATAGCCTAGCCTCAACGAAAAAATATTACCCGAATTATGAAATCAAGGACAAAGCTTGAGCATTGCTGCCTATGGGCAGTGGGTAGAGGTGTCGGAACAGGTGGCACGGCTAGCTAAAATTTACTCGGCCAATCGCAACCCACAATTAAGTGTGGAGGGCTAGGCAATATTTAAAAATTTATTGAAATTATCAATATTTTAATGCATCAAATGAAAGGATTATAGGTAGAATTATCTTCCAAAATAGTGCAAAAATTTGCATAACAAAGTTCAAACAAATTTTCAAAATAAACAAAACTAGAACATTAATTCATTAAAATTCATCAACACAAACGTAAAGCTTTTTCAAAGTTTGCCAACTACATCGTTTAGATATACAGTACACAAACTTAATTTCATACATTCAGATTTACAAAATTGTATAAAGACAAAGGTACCTTCATTCACACAAAAACGAACTCAATGAAGGATATATATTTGGGGAAAAATATACAGAACCAACCAACAACAATGAAACTCTTTACGACTATGAAATAGACTCCAACCCTTGGAATTAATCTAAAAATAACACAAAATAATTACAATTGATATCAAACAATTCAAATCCTAAATACCCATAGCAGCAGTCGGCATTGAAATTTATAACAGTAAATCATTTAAAATTAGTGGAAGGATTGAATTTACGAACCTCCGATGAAGAAGAAAGAAGCTGTCCTGACTGACTTGGAAGAAGACAAGGGTCGGAGAAGAAAATACGAGAAGCCAGACGGTAACGAAGTAGTGTAAGATATGGAGATTGAGGAAGGAGAAGGAATAGAGTCAGGGGAAGAAGGATAAAGAATGGATCGGTGCACTGAAGGGCGGCGGGCCCGTACGTGTCATACAACTAAAAATATTTGGCACACAAAATATATTAGGTTGGCCCGGAGTTTATCCAGTTCGAGCAGAAAAAAAATATATATATATATTTGGCAAAAATTTTTTTAATTGACTAATAAGTTAGAGGATAATATAGCAATAATATAATTTCCTAATTATTAGAATGTCATATAAGCATTAATAAATAACAAAAAATATAATGATATATCGATTTACGTTAAAAATTTCTTCACCGTTAAAAGAGAAAAAATTAGGAGACTCTTAACCTCATACTATCACCGAAAATCATACTTACAATAGTACAAAATCATAATTTGAGATATGGCTTGATCAATGATAAGTTACCGAAATCTCGATCTCATAAAAAAAATAAAAAGTCGAACAAAATAGAGTAAAAAACATGTGTTGTTTTCGGATTTTTATCTGAAAATCAAACCGTTGAAATACCGTACAAAACGAAGGTATAGATGTCCCTTATCTTCAGTAAAATTTTCAAGCCGATCGGATAACGTTTACTATGTCGATCGATCCAATCTCCACAACTGCGCAGGGGGAAGAAAAACCGACAAGACTGCTATGTTCTTGTTGTTTTTTATGCGAGTGCTGCTGCTGATAATTTTTTTTTTACCAAGGGTAATTAAATCATAATCACCAAGGGTTTTTGACAAGATTTGTTCGATCGCCAACCTCGTTGCTTGACGCCAGAGGCTTTTCTGGGATTAGGACAACTGCTAATATTTATTCGGAGCTTGATTAATTACCTAGCTTCTATCTTTTGGAGCTCTTCGGGTCACTGAGTCGGGTAAGAAATAATGACAACTTGATCTACCGATGACACCCTCCAAATCTCTCAATCCTTCTCGAAACTCACTTCAACTACGGTATTTAAAGGAACCAACCTAGCCCACAGAGGAGTTCGACATGAAGGACGGCAAACTTTCCCTAAATGCTCGATGATGGGCCTGCACGGCATCAGTAGTTTATGGATTATTCTCTTAGTTGGGAAGTTAAGTTGTCTATTTTTCTTGGGATGGATCCTAACTACATTCACAGGGGCCGGAAAAAAGGTCAGTATCAACCTCCATCTTTGTTAGATCATCAAAACGCAATCACCCCTCTTTAATCGCCTACTGCGTTGCATTTCGAAATGCGATGTAATTTTCTACCGTGTGGTCGAAAACTCCATGCCATTTATAAAAGTTCTTCCCTTTGAGCTCCTCATCGGATAGAGATATGTGCCCCTTCTTCAATCGAAGTTGCATGTCCTGTTCAAACTTATGAGAAATTAAATTCTAAGCCAAAGATCCGTCGTGTTAAAAATTGAGATAAGAAAATAAGATAATATATCTAACCTTATTCTTTAGCGCAGTTGGATTCAAATCTATGAATTAATTGAGGATTTCGTGTTTTTTAAGCATATGGCGCAACCCCTCCTGAGAAACCCTTCTAATTTTGTTATTTCTTCAACGATTAGATATGAAAAGTAATGGATGTTGCGTTAGACTTAGGATCACAACCCTAATATATTATTTGTTATTAATATTTGGTCTCATCTCCCAATTAATAATTTATCGGGTTTTTGCACATAGGTGGTTCGCACTTATTAAATACATTTAATCCCAATAAAATTTAATAGACCGTGTTTCAGGAAAGCTTAATTTAACTGATAACTCAAATAGTTTACATTTAATTCAACAATTAAATTTTTAATCCAACAATATTTCACTTGGGTAAATGTATATTGTATATAACCTTCTGAGATCATGAAAATTTTTATATATGATCATTAATAATATTTTACCAATCTTATTTGTCAATCACATTAATTTATGATCAAAGCGGTCATTATTGCATTTATCGCAATTAGACCGATCAGTGGTCACAACATTAATATAACTTAAGATTTGATTAAGTGCGGATGCACAACATGAAAATTACATTTTATGTGATCTTAACATGTCTATTTCCAATTGATTTACCTTAACTTTAATTCAGATAACCAAATATTGAATAATATATCTTGTAGAATAAAATAAAATAACTTCAACTATATTTAAACATTACTAATCACCTCCCATTAAATCGAATTATCAAAATATGGTCTCACTATCATACAAGCAACATGTTCACTATAGAACTTGGCTGGCAACCTTTAGTAATTAAGTAGATCCACAATAATAAACGTTGTACGGATATGTTCAATAACTAATTTACGATATTACACCACACAATTAAGCAAATGACGATTATTACCATAAAATTATATATAGTTCCAAAAAATTTCAAATTTAGGAAGAGACTAAAACTTTATTTCCGAATGAACAATAATAACCAAATTTTTCTAAACCAGAAGTCAAAATTAAATTTCATCTAAAAGACGGTACCACAAAAAATCTCTTGCAAATCCAAATAATAACCAATATTTAATAATAATATAAAATTGTCAATGGTTCAACTTTAAATTATTTTTTGTTGCCTATATAGATGTATCTTTGACCATTAATTGATTTTTGACAATAGAAAGAATCTTGCAACACAATGAAACAAAATTCACCCCTCAATTGTGTTTATGAACCAAAATTATATTAATTTCAGTAAAAACCAAAATAAAAAAATATCTTTTGTTACGCGTTATTCGTGATACTTGACACAAATTTTCTTGTCTTGTCCAACCTTCTTGTATAAGAAGCAAGTCTTCTCCTCACGATGAACCTGATGAGTTGGAGTTGGAAGTGAGAGCAAGATCAATAGGACTAATATGTCCTCCAAAAAGTTTAACTTTAAGGTTCTTCAATTTAGAAGTAATATTACACATATTTTCACCTCATCGCTTTTGGTAAAGTATTTTTCAATTTCGATAAGAAAATTCTTAAAGTAGTAATAATTATCATATATTGTACCCCAAATATTTCTGAAATGTTTTCTTAATGATCATCATACCTAGGCAGTTAAAACTATTTTATTTCTCAAACAAATGTTTTTCTCAACAGTATTTTTTGCAGTTGGAGGAGTGATTTTGTTTATTCACTGCCAAAAAAAAAAAATTAATTAGCTACAATATTTTTAATTGTGAAATAATATGTAGTCAATGTCATTCAACAACAAAACTTAACTTTTTATATCTAAAAAAATTGTCTACTACAAAATTAATTTCGTCGCTAAAATTCTTTTGCTAGAAAATTATATTTTCATAGTAAAAGGGTTTTAGCTATAAAATTATATTTCATAGCTAAAATCATTTGGCTAAAAAAACCATGCATATTTTTTTGTTAATTTTTTTTTGTTATGAATTTTATTTTTATAGCAAAAAAGTTTTAGCTCTTTGCTTAACTTTCATTGCGAAAACTTATCTTTCGTTACGAAAGTCAAATTTGTCATAAAAGATCTTTAACAACACAGTATAGGCGATAAAACATATTTGGCAAAAACCTTCTTGCTACAAATTCAGTACCTTTTGCTATGTAATATTTTGTAGCTAAATTTCAACTTTTTTGTAGTGATTTTTAATGTTAAATCAAGATCCATACCGTTCAAATGAATCAATATTGAGTCTTTCCCGTGTTTAAAGTTGTTCCCGAACAATATTAGGACCAAATAAATATACAAATGAATACTCACTAAACATAATGAAACTCAAGAATAATGTTGTCTCATCTCAACACACTATGCAACATCAATGATCAATTTTTGGATTAACAACATTGATTACTACCGTCATCTTGTTATAATAATCATATACAAATAATAAGTAATGTCAAATAATAAAGCACTATTTGGACTAATTTAGTATTCACATAAATTAAAGTTGTATAATCATCTCATATATATTATCGCATGCGTATATTTCATTATATCAATTATCAACTGCCTATGGATCGAAGAATAATCACATGAATTAAAAGCAGATATAAAATACTTACATTATCAAGTAAGAAATCTCATGTAATTAAAATGATAAATGAGCCAGTTATGGAATTGAAAAATCACTTTACCCAAGATAATTCTAGAGCAAAAGAGGGAAAAAAAAAAAAAAAAGGGAAATTAATTCTTTCTCACGAGCACTGCCTGCTGCCGGCTGCTACTGGCCATTCTTGTCTTGTCGTCCGCTACGAGCTCATCGTCACCCGCCACCGGCCACCGCTGCGCATTTTCACTGGATTGGATTTGGGATTGATTTAGTAGTATGTTATGTAAATATATTATTCCCTCTATCCAAAAGTATTGTCTTATTGTGTTGGACAGAATATTGATATTATATTGGTTGTTGGTAAAAAGTATGGACAAATAACTTTTTTTTTGCCTTTTGTGAGTATATTATTGTAAAAAGTAGTGGCAATTTGTGTAATAATAATGAAAAAATAAGAATAATTTTATGATCATATAATTATTTATGAAAATAAAACTATTGTTTTGGGACGGATAAAAAATGGTAAACAAGAATGGAGGGAGTACAAGTAATCAAATTTTAATTTAGTTATATTCTTGTTATTGTTATTATTATACTATTCATCTTTTTCATGATTTTTTAAATTTTAGAATTTATAAATATATTTTAAGTTATTTAAATAGATTTTCATCTGCTTTTCTAGATTTATGCTTGTTTTTTATTTTAAATTTTTTTTTTGTGAAAATTTTATGATAAAAGTTTTATTTAGATATATCTTAATTTAATTTAATTGTGATAGCTTATCTTATTAATTTAATTGAATTTAATTTTTAGTGAATTTGTGAAGTTAGTACAATAATTTTAATCAAATATTTTTTTTTTATTATTTAGGCAAAATATGTTATATAATTTTATTTTTTTTAGTTGAGTAAATAATACTCCCTCCGTCCCATTTCATTAAATACTCCATTATTTTCACAAATATTTTTACTTTATATCACATCGTTACTTTTACACCATAAAATAAAATAAGGACAAAAATATCATTACACTATTTTTATCTGCCTACTATGACAATTAGCTGGATTTGGATTTTATTTGGACGAAGTTAGAACCTTAATGGTTGGATTATTTTTTGTCTGTCTTCATAGATCATATTCTTTATGCATATTTGGTTAAAGGTAATTTATTTTGTAAGCAGTACTTTGTTTGGTATTAAATTTTTTATACTATAATTCTTTTTTTAAAAGAAAAAAAATTAATCCCCAACCTCTCTGACAAAATAATTATGATTCCACTGCTGAATTATAATTGAATTTGAATAAACACAGTCTAAAAGTTACATGTTGTATGACAAATTTAATTGGACCATAACGCGGGTCAGGATGAATCTATAATTGCAACTTCATGAATATAGTCAGCGTGAATATAATTATTGCAACCTTAATTATATATTAATCACATGATCATTGGACCAAATGATTCTAATACGAACACATACATGCTTGCACACAAATGTCTACAGATATTTAATTGCCTGTCGGGCCCTAGTTTGCAAGATATTAGATTCGGCCGGGAGTTTACCCAGTGCCCACTTTTGAATAACGGCCGAGAGTTTCCACGTTATCAAATAAATAGACGAGCATTAGTTTATGTAATTGTAATAGATATGAATTAATCCAACTGAAAATAATCCATGTCAATCTGGACCTTAACAATTTTGATTAAACAAATGAATAAATCTAACAATGATACCAAAATCAGGACGTATCCATTGATTCAAAAATAAAAATTGTCAAAACATGAAACTAATATAGATTATCTAGCATGAGCAGAATTAATCCGTTTAGATCGAAAATATAATCTAAAGAATGGGATATGATGATTTCACAATCATACCTGATTTGGATTAAATTAACACAACCAAGCGCAAAACTGTACATACATGGACACAAAGGAGATCTGTTGTGATAAATTAAACCCTAAGCTCAAGATCTATCGTGCTGAAAATTTGAAATAATAAGATAATAATCTAACTTTATTCTTTAAAGCAATCGTATTCGGATCTACGAATTAATTAAGAGTTTTGTGTTCTTCAAGCCTACGAAAAATTGCAAATAATATCCTTCATGTATATCCAAATATCACTTTTCTATTTTATTTATCTCGCTGGCAAAATATATTTATACGTTTGTATTCTTTAGTCGCCGTGGTGTTCACACCACGGCTGTCCCACGCATGGCCAAAGGACAAAAACAACGAACTTTGCAAACATATAAAATATATTTTGCCAGTGAAATAAATGAATTACAAAAATGATAATTGAGTATACTTGTCTGTCTCCATGTTCTCTTTGGATCTCCTCGTTTCTTTATAGACATACACTATTTTCTTTCACAACTATCACATTAAATCGCTATTCAAACACGAAAACACAAACCAAACACAATAACATCCAAAATGACATACTAAGTAGCATAGAATCAAGATTCCACAGATCCACAACTGCAAAACTCCATAGTTATAATCAATCCTCCATACTAGCTTTTCTTTACTAATAATACTTGATAGTAATAATAGATCTGCAAACCTCCATAGTTATAAGCAATCCTCAAATTCAAGTTTTGCTGTAATAATAATACTATAAGTTTAGCTCAAGATTCATAGCACATACCAGAAAGGGTAGCAAGTGCAGTCAGGGCATGGGCATCCCATCCCACCCCAAAGCTGGTCCTGCTGCAAATGGATAGCCATTTGGTGCAAGAGCAGAGCCCGCACCAACACCACCCCACATATCATAGTAGGCCATGTCAGTTGGGAAAGAAGTCGTCGCATTTATGTCTTCAACTTCTTGATTATGGGGCGAGATAGTGAACTGGTTCAAGGCATCATCAGCATAAACTAGCCCAGTCGGAGGAGCAGGATGCCAATCAGGATCATATGTTTCAGTTCCTATGCCTCCAATGTTGCCCATTTCGTTTCCCATCAATTGCAGCATATTAGAACCGTCAGGAATTGCGGAATATGAAGGCAAGCCCATCATATTATCAGCATCCACCTGCATTAGGACATTTCTGTTGAAGCCCGCAACAAAATGAGCTTTTTCAACGATCGATGCACCTGTTTCAGGAATGCTTCTGCTTTCCACATGGCTCTGTGGGAGCAGGGAGTTGTGAAAAGGCTGCACAGATGATTGGATTTGGCTCGGAGATTGTTGACTCCAGTGTTGAGGGATCCCGAGGTTTGGCATCCCAATCCCATTTCTGTTAAAGTAGCTCTGTTCATTTGAAATCCACTGTGCATTTTGCATCAGATTTGAGCTCTTAAAGCCACCAGCATTCTGTTGTTGATGTTGATTTAGTGCAAACAAATTTTCCTGATGCGGTTGACCACCAGGGACTAGATATTTCTGAAAAAAAAAAATACAGGATATAAAATAAGAATCCAATGAGGGGTAAAATGAGAAGGATCATTGATAAGTGTATGCAGAAAATTAAGAGCGTGCTGTGGAACTGCTGTGGCCGACAAAAAAAAAAAACATTAGAGAAAAAAAATTCACTATATAAATACACTACGAAATTGATGGGAATTAAAAGTGTACCAGGGCAGCGTAGTGATCTCCTGAAGGGATGCTTGTTTTACTGGGAGAGACCGACATTGGAAACAAGCTATCTTTGCTTAAAGAGCTCAGACCATTTCCAGAATTTTGTTGGAGCACAGGAGTTGGGGATGGGGCACCAAGTGGTGCGGCCATGGCCATGGCAGGTGCTAAAACACTATTTTCAATAAAACCATTCCCGTTGCTTGTAAAGCGTTGTAGGACAGCAGGGGATAGGTTTTGAACAGGATGTTCAGAGGAGAAGTTTGGAACAGGAGAGGCTTGCAAAGCTGCAGAGAAAGTATTTGGAGTAATACTTCTGGGGCAACTGTGTTGGAGTGCAGGATTTGGGGCCGGGATGGTGGGCAACAGATGAGGTTGAACAGGTGCGGGGATAGAAATTCCAGATGAAAAGCCATTCAGAACTTGAGACCCATTCTGATTAGCACCACTTATGTTGGTTATATGAGAGCTGTCTGTTGCATTCTGGCTTGTGAATTGAAACTGATCAACGACATTGTTTGTGCCTTCTGTTCCCCCATTTTTTGTAGCATCAGTTGCTTCATCATCAACCTGGGTTAGATCCAGCATATCAACAGATTCGGCAGAAACAGCATCTCCCATATTGGTATCATCATTTTCCATCACAGCATTCCATGAGCCATCTGAGGATATAATTATCTCAGACACATTGGGCCCAACCTCTTCCAAGACCTGAGAAAAATTTAACATAATTGAATACAAACACTCATCCAGAAAGAGTATTATAATGAAACCTCCGATTTGACAGATTATTTATCTTTGGCCAGTATAAAACATCAGCAAGGTAATATATTAGCAGCAATAATTTGGTTAAATTATCAAGGAATTTCAGTGCAGAACTGGTTAAATAATCTCATTTAAACTAAATGAAAGATACTCTATTAAATTCACTAGAATTGCAAATGAACTACTCACCTTAACCATTTTTCGGTCCAGACGAAGATCAATGAAGCATACATTGTGATTACAAGTTGGGCAGCGCCAGGATGGTCTTCTCGAATTCATTATCAAATAGTTGTTAAAATCAAAACACTGAAATACAACAAAAAATTTCATCAATACACTAAAAGGAAGTCCAAAATCTGAAGATAGCTTTTTAACTTCAACTGTGGCATATGGATGGGTAGCAGAGATTTTTTCTGATTAGATTATGATCTTACCTGATGATGATTGCATGAATGCCCTTTGACAGGAGTCACAATACGCTGATAGCTATCAACATACAAAACAATAGAAACAAACATTATGAAGAAGCAGAAGGTTGCATATGGTCCACTACTATTAAGAGTAGAGGTGCAATGATGGGGAAATTCAAATTTAAAAGTGATAAATATAAGTTAAATATTAACTAAGCAAACCCAGACTCTACATAATATCTAATGTTTCTAACAAAAATTGTTCATCTCTCATTAAAGTATAATTCGGCGGCAAGATACAAAATATATCTATGTAAGTTAAAAAGGTTTTCACTGCATTATAGGTCAAATCATAAACAGGCAAATATCCCAAAAGTACAACAGGAATACAGAGGTGAGTAGTTACCTAATAGGGCACTTTAGTGATATCCTTGATGGCCCCTCAATTATTTCGGAATCTATAGCAATTTAAAAGGAACACAAAGAAGTCAGCCAAAAATGATTAAATCCAGCAGTTAAATGAGAGATATTATTTAGGAGGAAGAAAATTCACACAACCCGTATGATGTTCACAGAAATATAAAGACATTTTCGAACTTATAACAACAATGCTTCCAAAGGGTCACCTAAATCCACGGTTGCAGAAGCTTTATGCTCATAATCTTTCAGGGTGCTATTAAAGGGGTTTGGCATCTCGCTCATGAAAGCAACAGCAACAATATAATTCCCTAGAGAATGAGCAACATTGAGAGTGAGCAACTTTCAAATATTCAGCATCATACACAGAAAATCAGAAGTAGGGCATCTAAATCATTACCATAAAATTCACCCACAGCCTGGAGAGTGTTTGCTCCATATTTGAGAAAATGGTTTATGATTGTTGGAATCTGTGGCCTTGTGTCCTAGTGGAGGCAAAATTTGTGTAAGTGAATACTTTGATAAGAAGAATTAAATCAAAGTAACATATGTCTCAACAAACCATGAAAACGTTATCCCTCTTCACAACTCCGTTTCCATTTATGAGGAAGCTGCAGTTAAAAATTAAAAATAATAAATAAATAACGTGTTGAGGTGTTGATTTATGTCAAGATAGTAATGAAGGAGATCAGCTTACTTTGCTTGGGCAGGACTTTTAATACAAACAGATGTCTCCATATTATCTGTTTGTGCAACAAACAGCCTCTGCAGGAAGAGGAATAGTAAGATGTAAAGCACTTCATACTAACTGTCTGTATGTACTATTATTGACCCTATAAACTTAAAAGGGTTGCCGCTAATAACCAACGAATGGCGCCTATGCAAGTTTTCAGAAAATCTAAAAACATGGAACTACCAAACTGCAATCATCCATCTTTCATTGCTGGTAGCAAGTTCAATAATTTACATAATAATAACAGTAACGGCATCCTTCCAGATTGGCAGCAAATCAAATACGAACTATTTTCAAAATAATGATGGTTCAAAAACACCTGTACAAATAATCACAGCTCATATTTTATATAAATAAACCTACAAATACTTCAGAGAAGAGAACCCACATTAAAAGGCCATGGTATTGTATAAATACAGCTTCTTGTAAAACCATATAACTGAAGGATGATTTGTTACCTAACTAACATGCATTCTGTATGATACATCAAAATGAAAACTACAATGCTGATTTTTTCAACTTACAATTTTCTCTTCTGGAGAAAGTATCAAATTCTTTGAAATCTGGAAATCAATTGCATAAGCATTGAACCCAAGCTGTCGTTAAACAAAATGAAAATACTATGATCAGCAAAACGCATCTGTTTTTAACACAAATAGGAGCAACGAAAGGAAATAACCACCTTGATTTCAAGTACAGCAAGAACTTGACCCATCCTCAAATAGGGATAAAATCTGCGACAAATATGATCAGATAGCTTATGTTAATTGGTAGGTAAGAAGTTGAAATGGAATAGAAAGATGCTTATTGGTAAAACAGTAAAGAGGAAAACACCAAATTGCTTCACACAGAGCTAATTCATTTATCCATAAATATTTGACTCACCAAGTAGTAATTTAATCCATAATGTTAAAAGGCCTCATTGAAATGTGTATACTGTTTTTGAGTGGCAAATTGAACAAAATAGTAACAGTACTCTTGTTTTTTCTCCCCACTAATCGGTACAAGACTTCATCAATTAACCAACTGATCAACTGTACTGAAGCCTATGGTTTTTGCGTGGCAAATTTAACAAAATAGTAGCAGTACTCTTGTTTTTCTCTCCACCATGCGGTACAAGACTACATCAATTAACCAACTGATCAACTGTACTGAAGCCTATGCATTTCACTCAGAAGCTCTTGAAAAGAAATCATACGATTATACTAGACACTACAAAACATCTTATAAACTTAAACATACCATTACAATGAATTAGACATACTAATGTGCCCATATTATTATAACAAGAAACAATTTATGATTCTTAATGGTGGACCAATTCCACAAAAGAGATACCGAGACATAATCGTCGAGATAACCATTTGCGAGGAGCGTTGAAGAATGTTACAAGCTGGCACACTGCCAAAGGTACTTATAATCTACATGGGAGAGACAACAGCCAATCAGAAAATAATAATAATAATCATCATAATAATAATAATAATAATAATTAATACATGCATGTAAAAAGAATGAATAAAGATAAATGCTAACCGACCTCCTCAGCCAGATTATTGAGCTCTTTACAATCTCTTTCGGAAAACCACTCACGTTCACAAGCAGTCTAGAAAACAATTTCAAGCTTTAGAAAAAGGAAACAAACAAGGGTGATTGGTAGTGTGGTTGTGTGCAAAGAAAATGTCCCATTAATCATAAAGCCTGCTAGCATATATAACCATGTATGGAAGTATAAGTACCAATTGAAGTGTAAGAAAAGAAAATCTTGACGGATGTTATATTTTCAAGGTCCTAGACATAACTATACAAATGAAATTTTTTTTACCTTAACAGATATCATCAGGAACAAAATTGCTCCTTGTAGCACACTATCATGTCGATTTCGACACACCTGAATATATCAATCATTGAAATAGAATCACAAAGGAGTTTGATCATCACGTAGTATATCAAAGGCAACAAAGAGTAGAATATAACCTAATGATATATCAGAAATAAATGGAAATGTAGACATCAGATCACTGAGTAACAATACACCATACCATCTCATACAACAAAGCACCAATATTGCAGATATAATTACATATTCACTGCAGAATTTAAAATTGGCTTGAATAGGTTTAGCCACCTTGCCAAGAGAACAAATTCATTTCATGCTTCGGCAGCTTTAGCTACAGACACAAATTGAAAATGCATGGGGAAGTACATGAATTTCTTTTTTGCATGGCAATTAGTAACACATATTTGAGATATTCTTCCCACTAAGATGTATATGCGAAGCATCAAACAATAAGAATAGGAAACATCACCAGCTTTATCAGTGCAGGGAATTCTTGATGTCTGACAGGAATTTCATTGTTTACAATTGCATAATCGAGGGCTCTGCATTGTAGGGGACCAAACAGACAATGAGACAAAATAATTCCCATTCAAATTCAGAGCATGATTCGAAGTGGCATTGATAGCAATTTATTGATAATGACTTAGTAAAAAAATAAAAAATAAAAAATAAAAAGAAAGTCATAAGGATCATGTCTGTCCATTGAAAAGCAAAACATTGATATGGATACTCTCTTATCAACATGATGGGACAAATTCATAAATACTAAACAGCACTATCAATTTAAACTTTTAAAAGTAAGGCATCCATCAACACATCAAAAAATATAAAGATGTGTTTGGCCATTCATATTCACAATAAAGTTTTGTGAAAACAAACACGGGTTGGGTCTAGATATCTACAATCCTAAGAATAAACAGAATGCATCATTCAATAATAATAATAATAATAATTGTTGGTTGACTCCCGTAATATATAAATAAATAAATAAATAAATAATGTATATCCCTTTAGGTTTAAACTTTTAGGTAGACGGCTAATTAGAATAGTATCAGAGCTAGGAAATCCCTGTTCGAGTTCCACCACCGTTCATTTGTCGTTGTCCACGTGCAAGATTCGTAAGTGACATATCTACCTTGCACACAAAGGGGTGTATTGGTTGACACCCGTAATGTATAAATAAATAAATGATGCATAAAAACAACACCGTCATTTGACATCATTTAACAATAATAGTAATAATAATGTTAAATATATCCCATATTAGAAAAAATATTGGGGTTCTCTTGATTTGTAAGGGAGAAGAACAACTCCACTTAATACCAATTGTTTTTAAGTTGGAATCTCAAAGCTTTCTTAACAGAGAGTCATGGTGTCCGTATTAAATATCTTGATTAGAATTTTGAAATATCATCTCAAAAGAAAAATGTTGAATACATCCATATTAGAAAAAATGTTGGGACTCCCTTAATTTATAAGGGTGGTTTTAAGTTGGAGTCCCAAATCCCTTCTTAACAAATAATATAACAATAAATACTGTAAATTCTAAGATGTGTGATAATAAAGATAAAAAATGTTACAACTTCTATCATTCTGGCAATTTTTCCATGAAAAATATATCTTTACACCCGGCATGAAAAAATCTTCTAACAATTACATGAATGCAAATAATACAGAAATAAACAAACAGACACACAATAGAAGACCGCTAAAAACAAACTTCTAGGAAGTTGCATCTTCATACATCTTTCTCTTCTAACCAATACATTTAAAAAAGATAGGGTGAACTGAACTGTAATTAGCAATGTCATCGATATCGCGGCTTCATACTTGAAATGAATCATTTGGATTAGGACAAACTAGATGGAAGAACAAGCAACGAGTGACAGTTTTATCAACATATCAGCTCTCTCAGTTTTAGAAACATATTACCATTCCAAATCAAATTCCAATCTTACCATATGTTCTAGAAGAATTCCCAAAAACCTTTACAACAAGAACAAATTATGTCGTCTTTGTAGAACGAAAAAGAACAAACACACTTGGCAAAGAAGATAGTTTCAAAATGCAAAAACCATCAAAGCACAAACTCTAGAACATGATCAAATTTTAAACAAGAAAAACAAATAACATTTTAAAGACAAACAAAAATAAGAATCACTTGAAGCACTTTCCACCTTTTTAACCTACAGAAATTTTAACAATTTCAATTCAGGCCAAATTCTACCAAAAACGAAGGCTACAATAGGAAAAACACTAAACACATTCTCATTGAGGTAAACAGTTCAACCCTAAAGTGGATTTTTATGCACCAATCCTACTCTAAACTGATAAATTTGATTCAGATCTGATTCTACTCTAACCTGATAAATTAGATTACAGATCTAAATTTTAATAAACCCAACCATAATGTACAATCAATAAATCAATCATACACTAAAGAGGAAAAAAATCGCAAAGAAAAACCTGGCAAGGGATATGCAAAAGTAATAATCCGCTTTATATCGTTTCCTTGAACTCTTGGATGAGGAAGCATCGGTAATGGAGACTGGAAAACTATTCATTTTCAAAAATGGATTCCCTTAGAAACACACAGGAAATGAAACTCCCTCTTTTGTATAATGAACTTCCTCAGAAAATCGCAGAAAATAGAACACCCTTTTCTTTCACACACAATTTTGTGGCCATAAATACAAGAGCTTCGATGTTTTCGAGGTATGCTCTCTGGCAATTCCATTAAGGACAAACGAATTCACCTACTGATGAAAAGGACCAATCTAAGGCTTCCACGAAAAAACTATGAGTCGGTGGTACCCAAAAAAACCCATTAATTGTGTCATTCAAAAGCATATGAATAATCCGTGGCAGAAATACCTTGGACATAATAGTATCGACAGAAACTAAATGGAAGAATGATGTAATTAAGTCACATGATGCAATAGAGGCTAAACATGAGAACTTTTGATCCACAAAGTCTTATATTATGGCTCCATAATGTAATGATGGAGTTGATAAAGTAAATTACTTTCCCAAGACAGAGAATACTACTACTCTGTCATGCAACATCAACCAAACAAAATAAATAAATAAAAATTAATAGTCTTAAAAAAAATAATGGCGAAAGATACTGCTCATTCTCCCCAAGGATTAATAATAAAATTAAACGAAAATACATTAGGCGACACGATTGCATATATCTTGCTCAGAACAAAAAAAAAAAAAAAATTGCAACAAGACCTCTTGGGGTACTGGCCAGAAAAATTAGTATCATACGAAATTTTGGTTGGTTAGTAACGAAGCCAAAGCAGAAAAATGGCATTATTTGACAAAATTTTGATATTAGAACAACCGTCTTACCAACGAACACGAACATTATTTTTGCTTAATGGTTACGTATGCGCCGAGAGCATCAATTAACTTACGAAATAGAGCGGCACAAACTCCGGATTATATGTTCAATCTATCCACTCTACATTCCAAAGGTCCACATTCTACTAAATCTTCCATAATGAAATATACGTAAAAAGAAGTAAATGCAATCGAATAATTATAATTATAGTTTTTCTTTATTTAAAAGAAAAAATCCTGTAAAACACATGTAGTCTGCAATTGATAATTCCATTCGAGAGCTACGAGTATTGGATAAAACAGCTCCAATGAGACACAGGCTAGATGAAAGAATACTATTTCCTAAATGATACATAAGGCCAAAAGGATACACAAATACTTCACATCCACAAACATGAATGCTACTAATTCAATTTGCAAACAATTAAGTGTTCTCCCAGAAATACCTGATGATACACAAAATCGCAATACCAAAACATACGGAATTTCATACAATCATTGCTAAAACAATCATATAATGTAAGGAGAATCCTAGAATGAGCGACGGATTTTGAAGATCAAAAGCAAATAGAGCATTCAGAACTATCAATTGGAATACGTTATAATGCATACCCTACACCGTAGACGATCAAACCAATTTGAACAAAAGCGTAGTCAGGGTACCTGGAAAGGGAGATTGACGAACACCTCCGTAGCGTAGGCCATAGAGAAGGTCAGGTAATCCACCAATCTCTGCGGAAACACAGTGTGTGTACAAGTCGGAGAGGCTTGGGGCAGGGGTATTGGCTGAGGTCACTCCTCCGCCATTCAATGGTAGCCCGGAAACCGGATGCTGTCTCGCCGTCATCCCGGCCATTCTTCCGGCAGTCAGTTAAAGGAATTATTCTACCATACGCTGTTCTCTCGATCTCGGCCGGCGTCGGAGATTCTTGAAGCTCTGATTAGATGATTAACAGTATCTAATGAATAGAGGGTAGTTGCAACGAAGCAGAGCCACTATAAATTCCCAAATTATTAGTATTATTTTATTTTATTTTTTTTGCAAAAGTTTACTGACTTGTATTACTAATTTACTATTTTAACTCTATTTTTCTAAAAAAATAAGTTTATACAATTTTTTTATAAAATAAATATGATTAATACGAAAATAAAATAAAAAATTTCAATTCAAAGACAAATAAACACATTTATTGGATTAGTTTGTTTTGATTTGAAATTCAATTTTTTATTTAAAATTTAATTTAAATAATTGTAGTTGTAATATTCACTCAGTCCTGACAATAGATGAACTCTTTCTTTTTTTTTCTTTTAAGTCACGATCCCTTTAAATTAATTTATTTTAAATATATTTAATAAATATAAATAAAATTAATTAAATTTATAATTGTTGATGTAATACTCCATCAGTCACCTATGAACTCATTTTCCTTCTTTTTTTTTTTTATCCTTTGTATAAAACATTATTTATTTTAATATATTTATTTATTTTAAACATATTTAACAAATATAAATTGATTTAATTAAATTTATAACTTATAACACATAAGCCTATTCAAAATCTCTTTATTTTTATATATCTCTACTGTATAAACAAATATTTTTATCAATATTTAAAAATTCTCATTTTTTATAAAATTAATTATAAATAAATAATATTGTTTTATTTATTTATTTTATATAAAATTTTATTATCAAAATATAATCATAAAATATTTAAAATACAAACAACACAACACTACTTATATAAAATATAATAAAATGCTATCATAATTTATTATTAATAACTTACTATCTATACTACTTAATATTTGACCACTTTAACCCCTCTTTAAACCATATTTGACTGAGCTTCCTATATTCCATCGGGCTCCTTCTACAGCTGGACCGATTTGATCACGGGGCAGGTCGGGTCCGTAGGCCACTCGATAATCTGGATCTTCTGTTGAACTGCGAACTTCCCAGGGCTTGAGCTGCATTTGTACTTAGTCGGCCCAATTAATTTTTGGTGTGTACGAAAGCCCCCCTCTCAAAAAATCGTTTGGACAAGAATTAATTTGTGGTCCTAATGATTTTGTCAAATACCTTAGTGTTTTCATGCTTCCTCGGCTTGTCCGATCATTTTTTCTGCTTTTGGAAGGTCATCGCTAACTACAGTCTGATTGTGCCTTCTTTTCAGCTCCCAAAGAGAAGGATAAAATATTTTAAGATGTTTTCCGTTAATAAACGTCTTCAACTCCTCTTCTTCAGGCTCCATCAACCTATATGCACCGTTAAGTGACTTAGCCAATATGATAAACGGCCACTTCTATGTGGAGAACCATTTCCTAAGCTTCGCATCTTTGGGACCTTCCGGGATAATGGTCTTCCATACCATGTCACGTTCTTGGAAGTTCTGAAGCCTTACGTGCTTCTGGAAGGTCGATTCAGCTTTTTCTTTTTTATGTCTGCAGCCTCTCTTCAGGCAAGGAGTCGAGCTCCTGGAGTAGGGTCTCGTCCTACTCTCCCATCGGCAGCTTGTTCATCTTTAAAATTCGGAGAGAAGACACTGTAATCTCTAACGGAAGCACAACATCGTGACCGTAAGTCAGCCTGTAAGGAGTGCTGCTGGTTATAGAGGATTAGACATTCCGATATGCCCATAAAGCATTTTCCAAAGTATCATGTCAGCCCCTCGGGTTTTCCTCCAACACCTTGATAATGAAAATCAAGATTTTATTCGTCGCTTCGGCTTGCCCGTTAGTCTGAGGGTGATACAGAAAGAAATATAGCAACTGGATTCCGTATTAGGCTGCAAAGGCCTTGACTTTCGCATTCATAAATGCGGTCCCTTGGTTGGTGGTTATTGTCTTAAAAATGCCAAACCTGTGAATGTCGTTACTCTTAATAAAACGTATGACATTATTGTATTGTACCTTAGCCAACGTAACAGCTTCTGCCCACTTCATGAAGTAGTCCGTAGCTACGAGAATAAATGAATGCTCCTTGGAAGATGGAGGATGGAGCTTGTCGATGATGTCCATCGTCCATCCAATGAAAGACCGTGGTTAATCGAATGAAGTTCTTCCACAGGGAGTTGTCGAAGTGGTCTATGGTGCTGACATGTTGGACATCTCTGAACATAATCAATGCAATCCTGTGACATTTGTGGCCAAAAATCGCCGTATCGGAGGATCGTCTACTTCATAGTGGGTCCGGCCCTATGGGCACCTCCAACATTTTCGTGGACCTCGGCCATGACCTTCATAGAATCCTTGCGACCTAGGCAACATGCCAAAGTTCTATCAAATCTCCGGCGATATAGCTCTCCATCGATTGAGGTGTATTATAGAAGTTGATGGCGCATTGCTTTTGAGGCGACCTTCCTAGGGTCTATTAGATCTTCCAGCAGCGGAGTGCGCCAATCTAGGTCATGATCAGCCTGCAAACATTTAAATCCTTGCAATATTTCTCTTATTTTAAATCCGGAAGCCCACAGCGCCTAGTCGTTTGCCTCTAAATTCTCTTCCCAAGGTATATCTTCTAACGTTACTTCCGTGAGCTGTTGAAGAAGATCGTGGGCTTCTTGAAGAATGTCCTGAAGCCGTGTCTCCCTACACTTGAACTTCTTAAGTGCTTGACGAATAACCAGCTGAGAATCTCCTCGAAGAACAACCTTTTCCCATTTCTTGCTACCAAGAATCGCAATTCTAATAGCAGTGCATTGTACTCAGCTTGATTGTCCGTGACACCTTGCGGAAGTTGGTGGATAAACAACTATACTTCTTCTTCTGGACTGGAGATCACCACGCCTGCTCCGGTGGACCCATCGAAAGTCACCAGCCAAGGTTCCAATACCACGTAGTCCAAGAGAATGGCCTGAACCATCCCAGAATGTTTGGCCAAAAAATCTGCAATGACCTGGCCTTTCACGGCCTTAAGGGGTTGGTACGTTAATGCGAACAATGCTAGTTTCAGCACCCATTTAACTAAACGGCACCGGAGGAATGGCCTGTTTAATAAATAGTGTAGAAGGTCGACTCTGCATATTACTTTAGTCTCAACAGGCAATAAATAATGCTCTAATTTTGTACATGCATTATATAACGATAAAAAAAGTTTTTCAATGCATGAATAGCAAATTTCAACATCATTTAAGGTCTTATTAAAATAATAAATAGCTCGTTCCTGACCTTCATCATCATCTTGGGCAACGAGGCAGCCTGTTGTATCGTTGGTCATGGCTATGTACAACTTCAGCCTCTTTCTAATGATTGACGATATTAACACTTAGGGAGACGATAACGCCTACTTAATCTGGTCCAGGGCTTTTTGCTGGGTTGTTTTCCACTCGAATACGTCTTTATTCCCACGTAGGAGCACTGAAAAGGTCTTCATTTTCCCGGTGGCATTGGCAATGAACCTCCTCAGAAAATTGACCTTTCCCATTAAGCATTGCAGCTCTTTAACATTACGTGGGGGCCCAAGGTCCTGGGTAGTCTTGACCTTATTTTTCTTGACATCGATGCCCCTTTGATGAACTAAAAAACCCAAGAATTTTTTGCTTGTACTCCAAAAACGGATTTCGTCGGGTTCATCTTTAGGTCGTGCTACCTTATCCATATAAAGGCCTTTTGAAGGTCTAACAAATGGTGATCGAATGCCTGGGACTTCACTACCACATAGTCTATGTATATCTTCATGAAAGTACCTATAAGATCATGGAATATTGAGTTCATCGCCCTCTGGTAGCTCGCTTTGGCGTTCTTAAGGCCAAAGGGCATAACTATCCATTCGATGTTCCAATTACTCTTGGGCAACAGAAAGATATTTTATGGGCATCCTCATCGGCTAAATATATCTGATTATAGCCAGAGTAGTTTTCCATAAAAGAAAGAATCTTTTATCTAGCCGTAGAATCTACGAGCATGTCGGAAATGAGCGTCACGTATTCGTCCTTCGGTGTCGCTAAATTGAGGTTTCGAAAGTCAACACAAATCCAGATCTTCCTATTCTTCTCCACCATTGGTACAATGATAGAAATCCACTCGGGTATATAGGGGGTTGCTTATGAGGCCAAGATGATGCTTTGGTGGGTAGTCGGTGCTCCACCAAGCTTCTTGATAGCCCTGGCATCTCGTGGTAATTCCATACGAAACAATCTTTGAACTCTCGGATCAAGGCAATAATTTACTTCTTCTTCTCAAAATCCAGCAGGGCGTTGATCCGCGCATTCGAGGGGTTGTCTCGTCCCCCAAGTTGACCTCCTTCAATGGATCATGCGCTTCAAAAGGTGGAGTAGCTCTTCGGATTGAAAAATAAACCTCCTCTTCACCTTAATCCCAAATAGGCGGCTAGGAGAATGTTCTTGCTTACCCATCAAGAAAGTAAGCGGCATGATTTTTGGTATATATGAATGGGCAACCAGATCTGCCCGCTCGTGCTTCCCAGTTTTGAGGATCATGTCGTCATTCATGATGAACTGATGAGCTTCCGGGCCGTGTGTCAACCTCGGTTTAGAGGCAAAAATCTGATCACCTTTACCTTGAAGTCGCCTTCGAAATATAAAGCTTTTTCAAGGTCTTGATCGGTGGAAATTATGTCCAAACTTGCTTCCGATATCTCATCGCAATCGAGTGCTCCGATCGTCGGCTCATCCTCTAGGATCTCGGGTGTTCCAAGTACTACATGGCCCTGCAAATTAACAAGACAATAATTGTCAGTTAAAATAAGCTTCGGCCTCCACTCTTTCTGGGCCTGAAGCTGATGGCGTAGATCTTTTCGATCCAATTTCGACTTTCTAGTGGCCACTGCATCCTGATTGTCTGGTTGCCACTCCCGAGCCTGATCTTCTTGGTTTAATTTCGGTCTTTTAGTGGCCACTGCATCATGATCATTTGAATAATGCTCCCTTGTCTGATCTTTCTGGTCTAATTTCAGCTTTCTTGCGGCAGCTCCTTCTTGGTCTTTGGCCTGCT